GATCACTTGGTCGGACCATGCCCCAGTCGTGGCAACCCTAGCAGACCTATATGAACCCTCCCACAGAAGCCCGTGGAGACTCAACGAATCCCTCATCACACATCCAGAATTCACAAAAACAGTAGAAAAAGAACTAACACACTACTTCACTGAAAACACTACAGAACACATCCCTCTCAACACACTATGGCAGGCTCATAAATCAGTCATAAGGGGGACGCTGATAAAGAGGGCAGCTTTCCTAAAACGACAAGCACAAACACAAATGCGAGAGTGGCAAAAAGAACTCCAAGACCTCACAAATCAAAACCAAACTACACCAACACGAGAACTAAAGATTCGCATTATGGAAATAACACAAGAAATACACAAACAAGCCCTGGAACAAACTGGCCACTATCTATGTAAACTCAAAGCGACTCACTACTCGCAGGGAAACAAGGCAGGCAAACTAGTAGCACAACGCCTTAGAGCTACACAAATAAAACAAAAGATAGCATACCTCACCACGGAAGCAGGACACAAAGTAACAGCACCCAGAGACATAAGCAACAATTTAGCGAAATACTATACCTCCCTATCCAACTTAGCGGACAACCCAAATACGCACCAACCGCAACCACAGGCCATACAAACCTATCTAAACACAATACAACTACCCACATTCACACCTCAACAACAACAAGAACTAACTGCCACAATAACACACGAAGAGGTGACAACAGCCATCCACAGCCTACCGTCAGACAAATCCCCAGGCCCAGACGGATTCGCCAACTGTTATTACAAAAAGTTCCACGCCATCTTGACACCACACTTAACGAACGCTTTTAATGAAGCCACCCGCTTACAAAAACTGCCTGCCGAGACACTGTTGGCGCATATTATTATGCTCCCAAAGCCCGGGAAACCACCCACCTGCCCACAAAATTTTCGCCCCATATCCCTATTGAACACAGATGCCAAACTGTACGCAAAAATTTATGCGCGACGACTGGAGCCTTACTACCACACATTATACATACTGACCAAGTAGGGTTTATCAAAAATAGGCAAGGAGGCGACACCAGGAAAGTAATGGACATCATACACAGCGCCCAATGCATGAAAGTGGGAAGTGTACTGATGTCGCTAGATGCGGAAAAGGCCTTTGACCGGCTGGGTTGGGAGTTCCTGGAACAAGTCCTCCGAAAATTCGAGGCACCAGAGGGCTTCCTCTCAGCGGTCAGGGCACTATACAGTGCGCCCACTGCGCAGGTCTTAAATGCGGGCTTTGTCTCAGATCCCCTCACCATAACCAATGGCTCCCGCCAAGGGTGCACCCTTTCCCCATTGTTATATGTGATGGCTCTGGAGCCACTGGCAGTAGCCATACGGCAAAATACATCAATCCACGGAGTGAAAATAGGGGACAGGGAAAACAAAGCGAACTTATTCACGGACGATATCCTACTGACCCTCACACAACCACACATATCATTACCGAATCTGATGGCCACTATAACGGAATATGGAAAATACTCATACTACAAGCTAAATATAAACAAGACACATGCCATTGGAATAGGAATCCAGGGGGACACCCTGGAGAGACTTAAAGCAGCCTTCCCCTTTGACTGGAGGTCCGACCACTTGACGTTCTTGGGCATCAAAATCCCAACAAATCTAAGGAAATTACTAGACAAGAACTACATAGCGCTCATGAAAGAGATTGCCACCACATTGGAATCATGGAAGGGGAAATTCCTATCCTGGGTGGGCCGGCTGGCGGCGATCAAAATGATGCTGCTGCCAAAGTTCCAATACCTACTACGCACTTTACCGATAACACTGCCGAAAACCTACATAACCTCCCTGCAGAGACTGATAAATTGCTTTGTGTGGGCCAACAATAGACCAAGGGTAGCGTCTGAGATCCTACAACAACCAGTCATGGGGGGGGACTAGGCCTACCATGTATAAAGACATACTATAGAGCAGCTCAATTGACAGCAGTCAAAGCAGTCACAGCTGAGGGGGAGCCACTACAATGGGCACAGATAGAAGCACACTGGGCAAACAAACAAAAACTACGGGACCTCTTTTGGCTCCCACGTCCCAAACTTTTCCAACCCCTACCAACTACAGCCCTAACCCTGAAACACTGGGATGAGCAGAAGGAAGGGGGGAGAGAGCAAAGAGTAATAAAAGGACAAGACCCAATCTCATGCCTAGCGGTGGGCATCCCATCCCTTGACGTTAAAACGTGGAGGGAAATGGGCTGCTTCACGATTAACCACCTATACAGAGACAATAGCTTGCTACCCTTCCCAGAACTCCAATCATAATACAACATACCCAACAAAGCACTGTTCTCCTACCTACAAATTAAATCACTACTCACAGGAATCAAAATACAAGACAATGAGCCATTAACCACACACAAGGCAGAAAACCTCTGCCTGACGAGCAGGCCCCCAAAGAAAACACCCTCAACACTATACACTGCCCTAATAGAGGAACATGCAGGGAACGACAAGATTTTCCAAAAAGCATGGCACACGGAATTGGGAAAAACACTGGGAACCTTTGCATGGAGGCGGGCCTTTACAATACATAAAGGAAACACACGGTGCACTACACACCTAGAGACCATATGAAAACTACAATATAGATGGTACATGGTACCAGAGAGGCTGGCAGCAATATACCCCAACACACCCAATTTATGCTGGAGATGCGGAGACACGGAGGGCTCAATGAGCCATATATGGTGGTCATGCACAAAAATTAGGTAGTACTGGGGGGAGGTGGAAAAAATAGCAGAAGGCATACTAGACAGACCATGGCCTTTAAACATAGAACAAAGCATTCTATTCATGATACCAACCATATTGAGCAAAACCGAGGAAAGGCTAATATTCCACTTGCTCATAGCAGCAGTAACATAGAGAGGGCATGGAAGTCTCCGATAGCGCCCACGAAAGAGGCTCTATTAGACCAAATCTCCCTAAACTGGAAATATGAGCTGATGGCAAACAAACACCTAGGACCGCGAAAGCATACGGACATAGCGGGTGGGCGATGGAAGGCGTATATAAACGAACAACAGGCTCACCATACAAACCACCAAGAGGGAGCGACACCACCAGGGAGGGGGGAGCAAAGAGGTTGGAAGGCCTAACAAGGGGAATCCCACAGCAAATAGTAGACAACAGCAATGGAGCGGAGCCACACAACAGGGCAATCAATGAAACATGTAAAGGACTAGATGAGCCCCAAGAGGGTAACATAAGACACAAGAGAGTGGGGGAAAACCTGAGAAGTAGAGGGGAACGGAAAGGGGGTAAACTTTGAAGGAATCCTATGCTGTAATGTATGAACCCTATGCTGTAACGAAATGTTCCTGCACTATCCCGTTCTATTCTGTACCCTGGCGAGCAGGCGCCGAAAGCTAACCAATGTGAAACATCAATAAAACCATATTTTCAAATTGAAAAAAAAAAAAGTATACAGGGTTATAAAAAAATAATACAAATCTTTGTTTTGGATAAAGAAAAATGTCACATAGCATATCACAGTAGTGTACAACAACATGGAGACACATAGGACTCCCTGTTCAGTGCAAAAAAATTCAGACATGCCACACCATCAGTACTATAAAAACAAACTCTGTGACATTTAGTTCCGTCTTTGAGCACAAAAATGTTCTGATTAATGAAGTAAGGTAAACAATATATACCTTTCCTTGTATTTTAGCCAGGGGTCCCATGTCTTGTAAAATAAAGGGAGGGCATTGTGAATCGTCGCTGCCAATTGATCTATTAAGTGATTTTCTGCTATTTTTGAGTTTATCTTCCCATGTCTCCGTTTTTTTCCTAATTGTTTGGAAGAGAGCATGATAGTTTTCTTGGTGAAAGACGCTCCTTGTGACTGTGATCCCTAGATATTTTATGGCTTTGCTAATTGCCCCTGCTGTGCACAGAATATAACTTTGCAGCTACCTCCCTGTATAGACTTAGTCACAATTTCTGTCAGTTGTGTGTTTTGATTTACTTTGGTTTCCTTAGGTGTTTTTTTAATCGTTTTAAACTTTACCCCACATTCACATTTTCAGATATCATGTCTGAGGGTATATAGCACCTAGTGGTCCCTGTCGCCCACTCCTGCTCCAAACTTTCTTGTACCATGGAAAGGATGCTATGCTGTAGAACCAACATACTAAAATAACACTTGTTGACCTATGTATCAGACCCCAGGTGCCACAGTGTAAGCCCAAGTACATTACAAGTCCCCATGGCACACTAACAGGTCAGCAAATCATTACTGGATCTCCCATAGTGAACCAGTCACTTGGGCCCAGCTAGGGAACTTCTATCCCCAAATCCATAACTTCCAAGGCCAGTCAAAAGCCTGAGAAGTCTCCCAAAGACTAAAGGACTGTGGTTTTGTCACTCTTAAATTCCAACAGCTTGAAGGCATGCCCCCAGGAAAACTATATGTTATGGGTGTGCAGGGTGTCGGATACCAGCTTCCAGGCCTTGCGCTTTTGTAGGGTGAACGGAGCCAAATCCTGATAGATCTGCAACTCTATAGCTTTGTTTTTGACTTCCATGCTGCAGCATCTCCAGATGATTGTCTCCGCTGTAGCACAGTGGTGGAACTGAGCTATGACGTCCCTTGGAACATTGCCTGTCTCTTAGAACCCTATGCGCTCTTTCAATAGACCATTTCTCCTCAGGGATATCTGGCAGAAGTGGGCAAAGCAACTTGTAGATCAGTTGCAGACGAGAGCCCTCTCCTGATGACTCCAAGAGACCCCTGATTCTGATGTTGTGCCTACGAGAGATGTTGGATAGATCCTTCAGCTGTTTTTCTATGATGTGCAGTCGTCCATACAGGTCGTCCATTGAATCCGCCATTTTATAATGGGCCTGCATAACCTTCTCCACACGGGTCTCGAACTCTGCTTGTGCGGGTTCCTAATGCTCGGATGTCAGCTCTGAGTGCTCCTTTCGATTTCCTTTGCTAGAATTCTTTGTTTGAGAGCATTTGTTGTGCTGCATGACATGGAGAAATCAGACTCTATATCCTCCTGCTTCTCTGCTCCATTGTGCTGGCTCCCGCATTTGCCATCTTCATTCTGCCTTGGGTCTCTGCCTTCTTGAGAAAAGAGGGTTGCCACGGTGGCCTCTTCTTTTAAAGATTTTTTTCTGTGAGGAACTCTACAGAGCTCTGGATCTAATGACCATACTCATTTAGAAAAAAGCAATGCTTCTACGGGATTTTTTGATAAATCATTATAATTTTTTTTTCAACAGAATGTAATAATTTCTGATAATTCAAACCAATTAAATCGAAGCCATATTTAGGTATATGAAAAAAAAAAACTAAAAAAAAAACTGAGGACCTAGTCACGTGTCTGCTATCTTTGTACGGCTAATGCGTGACACCTTTATTGTATTACCCATAGGAACTTTATAGATTCATTAACATGGATGTGTTAACATTTAAGGGGCAAATTTACTAAAAAAGACTATTAGTAGTTAGTGACTTACAAAATACTAAAATAGCCGAGCTTCACAGAAAAATTAATTTTTCATGCTAGTCAATTTCTTCATTTCCCCCCATATTTTGCTTCCAATTTGCAAGAGAGTTTTCAGATTACTGCAGCCCCCTGTTTAGTGGTAATACACCAAACTAAAAATCAGTAAAATATAAAATATTGTTGTTTTTTTTTTTTAAACTCCAAGTATTGCTAAAGCAAAAGTGATTTGGTTGCATTGGTAATCACAAGATGAAATACCAAGAGTTTGACGGGCTTTAGGATTAACCTCAAGGTCTTGTGATGTACCTGTAGGTATTTATTAATTATTAGACACTTCTGGTTTTACAGAAGGAGGTGTGTCAGGGTAATTATAAACTTTTGCTGCATAAAAATGAGCTGTATTAATCAGTCAGTGTATTACTGGATATAGAACTACAAGAATGAGCCGAACAGAACGTCACAAACTTCTTGGAGCTCTTCCCAAGTATAAAAATAAATAACTATACAATTTATCCCGTTCTCGGAATTCTCTACTCTGATGTAAGGACAAAGATAAAAGACGAGAATTAAAAGGTCATCAAGTGAGCATGGATTGGTATATTAATTAATTAAACACATCCCTCAAAAGTATAAGACACTGTCTGAATATTGATGTCTTCTTGAACCTTCAAGATGCAACTTGCAAAAATAACAAGCTAACCTGGTCCCCCATTGGCCATAGATGCTTTTGCACCCTGCAGAGTGGAACGCTAGAAGCTATTTGGTGCAACATTCTCAATATAAATGTGAATTACTTAATGACACTAAACTGAAATTTTTGCAAATTAACTAAATGACAAATGCAGTGAGAGGTCACATCAGGTGTTAAATATCACTGATTAATTTCATAACCCATGCTCACCTCGTCTAGTCAGTTCCTTACTCGCAGTCTCTGTGAAATGCCAAAAGTGACACATGTACAGTTAATATTTAAATGTCACTGGCTAACTCTAATAAATTAGACTATTCTCAGGATTTCATTGATAGTTAAAGAAATGGTCCTAATTCAACCAGGATTTTCAAGGGCTTGCCAGAACTTCTAATTAAAGGCATACTATAGGCACCAAAACCACTTTAGCTTAATGAAGCAGTCATGTCCCTACAGTCTCACTGATCAATTCTCTGCCATTTAGGAGTTAAATCACTTTTGTTTCTGTCCGTGCAGCCCTAGCCACACCTCCCCTGGCTGTAACGCATACAGCCTACATGAAAAAAAAGTTTAATTTTCAATTAGATCTTTTAAAAAAGAAAAAAAATTTTTTTTAAGAGATAAGAGAAAATTGTTACATTACATTTCAAAGGTGGATTACAGCATAGAAGTTAGCGCAAATACAATAATCTGCTATTATCATAGCAAGGGTGATTTTTCAAATAAAGTAAAGCGAAGTAAAATACAGTAAAATAAAGTAAAATACCGCCAGGCAGATTGCCTCACATTGGGTCATCATTTGTGAAAGTCCGGGTGTTAGAGACGGCTGTGTATTGCAGGTTTGACATTACCAACATATATGTTCATGTAGTGGTGAATGCCGCCAGAGTGTCCCTTGGTGAGGCTGCCTGCGGTGAGTTCCGCAGTTTGTGCCTTTCAAGTCTTCCGTTGGCTTACGTCATGAATGCTGGTAGTAGGCATCCTCTTCTTAGGCATGGGGATACACCACGCAGGTCTCTCAAAGTCCACTGGGTCCAGACGACCCGCTAAAGGACGCAGTAACCGGAGGTCGATGTGGATTTGTTACTCGGTCGTGGGGTGAGTACAGGTGTTGTGCTGAATAGACCACTTTATCCAGGTACAGGTAGCGGTGTGATTTAGTCGTTACACGGGGATATTATTTTGGGGCCTTCCCCGGGTGATGGTCTACGATGTTAGTGGTAGGAGGCCATAGGCGTGCGCAGCTTATTGCATTAGGGTGTGCACCCTAAAGCACAAGCACACGCCACGTATATATATGTATGTATGTATGTATATATAGATATATGTATATGTATATATATATATATATACATACACACATATATATACACACACATACACTGCTGTGTGTGTGTGTGCTGTGTGAGGGTGCTGTTAGTGTGATGTGTGTGTGAGGGTGCTGGTAGTGTACTATGTGGGTGTTTGTGTGTGCGCGCTTGTGAGGGTGCTGTTAATGTACTGTGTAGGTGCTGTGTATGTCTGTGGGTGCTGTATGTGTGTGGGTGCTGTGTATGTCTGTGGGTGCTGTATGTGTGTTAGTGCTGTGTATGTGTGTGGGTGCTGTATGTGTGTAGGTGCTGTGTATGTCTGTGGGTGCTGTATGTGTGTTGGTGCTGTGTATGTGTGTGGGTGCTGTATGTGTATAAGTGCTGTGTATGTCTGTGGGTGCTGCATGTGCTGGTGCTGTGTATGCGGGTGTTGGTGCTGTGTGTGGGTGCTGGTGCTGTGGGCGTGTGTGTGCCGTGCGTGTGTAGGTGCTGCATGTCTGTGGTGCTGTAAAGGTGTGTGGGCGTTGGGTATGTGTGTTATTTTTTTCAGTGTGGGTTAAAGGTGTGTGTGTGAGGGTGCTGTTTGTGTATATAGGTGCTGTATGTGTGTAGGTGTGGGTGATGTATGTGTGTTGGTGCTGTGTATGTGTGTGGGTCCTGTATGTGTGTAGGTGCTGTGTATGTCTGTGGGTGCTGTATGTGTGTTGGTGCTGTGTATGTGTGTTGGTGCTGTGTATGTGTGTGGGTGCTGTATGTGTGTAGGTGCTGTGTATGTCTGTGGGTGCTGTATGTGTGTTGGTGCTGTGTATGTGTGTGGGTGCAGTATGTGTGTGGGTGCTGTGTATGTCTGTGGGTGCTGTATCTGTGTGGGTGATTGTGGGGGGTGGAGGTGGGGGTACATTACTTAATATCCCCCCTCCCTTCTTACTTTATGTAGGGAGGGGGGATTCTTGTTCCTTGCTGCCTTCCCTGGTGGTCCAGTGGAGGTGGGGGCAGATTACTTAATATCCCCCCTCCCTTCTCTCTGTAGCCGAGGTGTAAAGCGAGGCAGCGGCTGTCTGCTCCACTCCCCCCCGGGTAGGCCCCAGTCTCCAAGCCCTCCAGAGCATCTCACCGGGACCCAGAACCACCCGATATCAGGTACTCTAGCTGCACGGGGACACTCCAGGATCCTGTACCACGGATTTCCAGGGTGTTTCAGGCTGGTGTTTCAGGTTAAGTGGTTATTAGATCAATATTAGCTAAATTACTCAGGAGCCATGGTGACTTGCAGCCTGCTAGCATGGCCGTCTGGCCCCGCCCCCCCAAATACAATAATCAATTACACTTTCTTGTTTTAGACTAAATTATGTTTCAATTTTTTTTTTCCAGGTATTACAATGTTGATACCTCTGTGTAACATTTTGATTTTAAACCAAAAGAAAAAAAGATTAAAACATAAGGGGGCTGGGTGGGGATAGGAAGTGGGGTAACACTTGATGAGATACAATCTTGTGATCCTGCCTATTTAACTCAGATTGTGGACTTGTATTCAATCAGCTCTTAACTTATTTTAGAAGTTACTAGCTCCTGCTTTGTAAATTGAACTTTAATTACACAGAAAGCCTCTGCGGGGTCTAAAATGCTATGAACAGGGTAGGAGATATTAAATTCTAAATTAAACAGACTGTTCAATAAAAGAAGTTTAAACATTAGATCTCTCTTTACAGGAAGTGTTTAGGAAGGTTGTGCAAGTCACATGCTTTGACTATGGCTGCATAAACCAAGTGATTTAACTCCTAAATTGCAAAGAATTGAGCAGTGAGACTGCAGGGGCATGATATATACACCATAACTGCTTAATTACGCTAACGTTGTTTTGATGCCTATGCTGTCCAATTATTGCCAAAATCAATATTATTAATGCAGAAGTGCTACTTCTGCATTAGCCATGCCTGGCCTTAGGGGTGGCGCACAATGAGACGGGACGTCCATAGAAAAATTCTGGTGGTGAGTTGCAGGAGGAACTGCTCAAGGCCAAGGCTGCTCTGCCAATATAAAATATTATCCTCTTACTTCACCCATTATGAAGGGCAAAATTAGTCAGCTCGCTTGGCTAATATATCTCCCAACATTCCAAATGGACAAAAAGGTACCATTTAGTTTTAGGGGTGTGAGTGGGGTGTGTGGCCAGGAACAGGCCTAGTTTGAGAAACTGTAGGTGACTTACTAATAATGTTCTAAAATGTAATTTTAGAACAAGAAAAATGTATCTTATTTACACAGACTGATTTCTAAACACATTGATTGTAGTTTAAATAAACATTACTGGGAGTATTATTGCCGTGGAGCTCTGTTATACACTCAGACACATTACTGGGAGTATTATTGCTGTAA